CTGAGGATTGTGTCCCAAGGTTCACAGTAGTGATTTCTTGAACCAAATGTTGTGCTTTGTTGCCACTGTGCTTCAGACAAAGGGGAGTCTGGTGGGTATTTCAGGATATGTGTTCAATACAGTCAATTTGTGACTATTGAGACTTGGGCTTAGTGTATGTGTTAATTTTGGTTAGAGCTCCTTTGTCAGGCATGGGATAAAAATAAACTCATTTCCTTTGGTGCCTCATTCCTAAAGGATGCAAAAAGGACCATCTCATTTCAGGATAAGACTTGCTTTACTTGCATTTCCCAACCTGTCTAGTCAGCTTCTCTCCATTTGTGGCCATAGTTAGTGGCCTCTACTTGGCCTCCTCACACCTGCTGCAGTGTCAGGGGACAGATAAGTGCATCTCTTTCCTTACTCCAGGAGTGGAAAATTAACCGTTTCACTTCCTTGTCAGTCAAAGTGCACTCCCATCTAATCACAGCAATCCACACACCTCCTAGTTTACTTCAGACAGAGCTGCAATTGAGTGAAGGCTTTGAGGAGCTTTAATGTGTTTAATTTACCAAGGTGATCAGACAGCAGGTGGTGTATTGTTCAACACCTCCAGATATGACTATGTACAATAATTATGTGTTTTGGTTCTGTAAATGGGTTTTAATTCTTATGAATTAACATCAGTTAAAAGCACCAGAGCAACCAGAGAAGAGCTGTGTAAATGCATTTATTGCTCGGCAGTCTGCGTGCTGCAGGTTGTGTGAGGAAGTTAGCAGGAATCCAGTGTACTGATGAGGAGGCTTATGTGTTGCACAGATTTTTCTGTATCTTGGATAAACCATTTAGTCTCACTGTCCCCAGTTTCTTCTCATGTTGCTTTCCAATTTGTAAAATACACTGGAAGTAGTGAAGTGCTTTGATCTATTTATTTAGACGGAATGATTTGGAGCAGAGATCTTTTTCACTGTGTATCCTGGAAGCACATTTGAAATCCCTTCTCTATCCTCCAAATAAGCAAGCATGCACAACATGATATTCCAAGAGGATGCATTACAGCAGGTAGCACTGCTCACTGATGAATAAAAGATGGCAGCTTTCCATATGCCACCTTTGAAGAGGTAATCTAATTCCATTAGAATTCATTATGGATGCTCAGGTTACACAGCAGACCCACTGCCCAGATTGCATAACCCAGTCTCTCGTGTTGCCAGAAGAAAGTGAGCCAAGCAGTTAACAGCACGATGGTTCTTAGACTGTTTTGCCCAAAACCAAACTCTTAGGGAAATTAAGAAGATATAAACTTCACAAACGGCTTGTACTTATTCATGTTATTAACTATCATCATAATCTTCCATAGAAGAAAAATATAATTCGAGAATAACTCACCAGAAGAATACAAATGGATCTTAACAGTAAAGAAGAGGCTTGTTAGATTCCAGAAAACAGAAAGAAACCTGGAGCTGACTGCAGTCTTTAATTATTTAAATTTTTAATGAAAAATAATTTTAAAAGCCAACATGAGCTGTCTCAGGCAAATCGATTTCTTAAAACATTTAAAATCATTTGGACACTTCACTTTTGTCTGTGTTGCTTCTTCCTTTTATTCCCACTGCACTTTCCCCTCTGCCTGTGGAGATCAGGGTAGCTGCCTCTGCAGAACAGCAATCTCATTTTGTTTACCTCGTGTTTCAAAGAGAATTGAACAAGCCCAGGATTCGCTTTGTCTAAACAAATATTGGCAAGACAAAGGTATCACAGTTATTCTAGGGACAAGAGGTTTGTTGAGATGGAGAATGGTAAAGACTGCCAAGAAAAAAAAGTCAATGTGTTTTTATCTGAAAAAAAAAGTTAATCCTTTTCACAGCCTCATTTTCTTCGCTTTTGAGATAGCTCTCCTTTTTCATTTAGGTTTTAGAGTTTTTAAGCTAAGAGAAGCAAGAAACTGAGATATTTTCTTTGTTCCTGTCAAGTAGCTTGAACAGTTTGAGAACAGAAACCAGTCAGAGCAGTGTGATTAGCGTAGCCAATTAAGGTGGATTTGCATATTCACAACACAGCTATCGAGAGATAATTCTGCAGTGATAACACAAGTGTGGCAGTGCCTGACTGCCTATCAGAGCACCCTGGCATCCATGCTGTATGGTAATTGAGAAATAACCACAGAGTGATTCTGCAGACTGGGCACCCCGAGCCAACCCACGTGCTGGCACTGCACAGCTGGGGAAGAAAGGGCATTTGTAAGGCGGGAGCAGAATGATCCCCCCACACACCGGAAAAGGTTAATCTACAATCCATTTACCGAAATGCAACGGCATCTGTCAAATGAGTTTGCTTTTCCAAGATTCATTGGAATACAATTTGTGCTGTCAGTTTTGGGGGACCAACCTCATCAGGAGTTTGGGGGACCTGGCTTTTAATGAGACAGCAGCTGGCCAAGGACTGAGTGCCTCAACCCAGCCTGGTCCCCAGACACTGCGAGTTGCTAGATGGTGTGCTACACAAGGGGCAGAAGGTGAGCTTCATGCAGTGGCCTAAAGGATGGATGATGAAGCTCTGCTTTCTTCTGCCCCCAAAAGGCCTTTCACCAGAGTGCTATCCAAGGACCAGGCAAGAAAGCAAAGCACCCTTCAGGAAACCTTGTACACTCTGTTGGATAACAAACCGGGGCGGGTGATCACAGCAGCTTTATTATCTCTGAAGGTGAAAAATCACCTTATATACTACAGTAACAACAATCTGCTCCATCTCAGTGTTCCTCTGGATCCCACCACTCGCCATCTCTTCCCAACAACTGCACCACCGCAGGCGTTCGGGTGGACGTGACTGGCCGAGCAAGTGGCACACAGAGCCAGCTGCACCCTGTGCCCATGTGATCTGCATCTTCAGGAGGCTCCGTTTGCTTACCAAGGATGCTAACAAGTGATTGGCAGTGTGCAGCATCCATGTGTGCTGATTTTAGAAAGAAATATGGTGATTTCTACCCTTAATGCTCTTGCCTCCTCTTCAGTGCTGGTAGCTGAAGTCGTGGTGTGCAATTGCAACAAATTGGGTCAGGAGGAACTCCCTGGAGTGCTCTCCCAGGTGCAACTACAGAGGCCACAGTTCACTTTTGAAACTGCTAAGGGAAAGGTAACAACACAAAAATTAACTCACGGTATTTACTGTTACGAGGTATCAAGGAAAACTTAAGGAAATCCCTAAAATGAGACTGTGACACAAATCATATGTTTATAAACTGGTATCTTGTCCATCAAGGTAAAGATTATGATCTCTCAACCTCCATGCCACAAAGATCACATTTAGTTGTCAGAAATTTCTTCCTCCAAGAAGATATATTTTTTTATAATCACCCATGATAGGGATTTTATACCTATCTCTGGAATATCCACTCCTGGTTTATCTAGTCCAGTAACCTATGTAATATTTTTTTATATTTAATGGTCTCAGTCTATGAGCATCCACAGTTGTCTCTTTCCTTCCTATCCCCTTTGTGGCACCAGCTCTTTATTAGAAACTTAATAAACTTCGTGTATGTTCTAAAGATAATATTGAAAATGCAAAATTGTGTTCTGCATTTTATAATTGGTGTGGAAAAAAGGGGGAGATCTAATCCTATTGGGCCTTCTCTCTCTTTTGCTCTCTCTCTCTCACTTTTCCCTTTTGATGGTAAGCAGCAAATTTTAATTAGCTTCATTTCCACAATTCAGTCATGCATATGTAATCTTTGTTCACTCTTTTATAAAGTAAAATTAAGTGAAAGAAATGGGGTAATAATAGAAAGTTTGTCTGAGCAGAACAAATATGAATTATCAAACATAAGGAAAGATGACTGGCACTACACAGCTTGAAGTTGTGCAAGGTTTGAGGTGATTTTTCTGAAACAGAAATACATAAATAATGCATAGAAACAGGTGCTGATTATCCTGGTTTGGGCATCTTTTGTTCATTATATACTTGGGCTGCTGAGGTACAGTGATAACCACTGAATGTGAGGAGACTGCTTAACAACAACTTCCTAATGTTTCTCTTTTATCACGAGCTGCAAGTGTCACATGAGCTTGTCTAGTTAATAAAAATCACTTTGTGAACCCACTGTTCTTAGATTTGGTATTGGAGCAGATCACAGTACTGGGCCTCTCTCTATTATAGCTGCAAAAGCTGTATGGCCATTTTGCATTGTAATTTAAAGGTTTCCTAATCCATATACACACCCTCTAATTAAATGTTTCCAGGGGTTACCTTGGGAGCCTTCAGTGCTATGGTTTGAAACTAAAACTAAAGAGCGTGTTAAATTCGTTCCCCTTGGGGTGAGACACAGTAGGGGGAAGTACATTTTCATCCCCCGCTACTCCAGATTATTTGAAAGCATGAGCATGACTGGGTTACTGACTTCATTATTGCTCTTATCTAACATGAGAAGACGGAAATTTGAAGGAAAACAATTGATGTGTCTAAATCTAGAGTTCAGCTTACTTCATAACTTCTGAGAAGGCTCTTCGGAGTCTAGCCAGTTATTTTAAGAAGCTACCAGTTCAGCAGCAGCAACTGAAAACCAGAATGTCCTGTTGATGTAAATCAGTCCATGGCTGCACATAACCAACACTGCTGCTGCAGATGCCGAGGTCTTGATAAAAGGAAATGTAAAGTAGTGAAGCTTGTGGCATTAGCACACGTAGTAATGGAGTCTGAAGCCCAGTTAATGTTAAACTCACGAGGAGATACTTTCTCTTTAGCATGTGTTCATTCACACATTCAGCCTGACCCCACCAAACCAACAGCTTTAGGTGAAACACCTCTTTTCATCCTTGTGAAGCACCTTCTGCTACAGGAAGTGAATTTCAGACATGGGTGGCTCACCCTTTTTTTTTTTTTTTCTCTAAGCACGCTGTTCTGCCAGTGACTAGAGAACTAGGGATAGCCAAGATTTAGGTTAATGGTTAACAGAGTAGCTGTAACCACACAGACTTCCTCCTGGGGCGGGGACCAAAAGCTGCTTTGCTTGCAGAGGAAGAAGCAAGTGCTGAAAGTAGAGCAGTTGATACCGTGAAGGGCTGGAAAACAGCAGCTTCAGTCCATAGAGAAAGGAGGAAGAAAATCCAAAAGGAGAAAGAAGTGTTTGCCATAAAGATAGGTAAGAGCTGAAACACTTTCCTGTTCGACTTACTGACTCAGAGGGTTGCTAACAAACCCCACAGGTGTGGCCAGGTGACACACATTATACCTGACTGCTAGGACATGTGCGTCTCCGTGAGAGGGGCAAAGCGAGAAAGAACCTGTTTGCTGTGAATTTGAACATCAGAGAAGGCAGGAGGACACTTTGTTCCTCCTCCCTGCCAGGGGCTGCTCATGGCAGGACAGACATCCACTTCAGACTGCTCTCATCTCATTGACCACAGCCATGTTCAGGAGTTTGAGGTGGCTCTGTGGATCAAGATCACTTTGGCCTTAGTCTACATCTGCATCTTTGTTGCGGGCATCTTGGGCAACAGCATCACCATCAAGGCCACCAGGATCTTGCAGAAGAAGGGCTACTTGCAGAAGGAGGTCACCGACCACATGGTGAGCCTGGCCTGCTCTGACCTGCTGGTCATCCTGCTGGGTATGCCCGTGGAGTTCTTCAGTGCCATCTGGAGCCCCTTTTCTACCCCCAATGGCAACATTGCCTGCAAGCTCTACTACTTCCTCTTTGAAGCCTGCAGTTATGCCACTGTGCTGCACGTTGCCACCCTCAGCTTTGAGAGGTACATCGCTATCTGCCACCCCTTCAAATTCAAGTCTCTCTCTGGACCCCGCACGGTGAAGCTGCTCATCGCCTTTGTCTGGGGGACATCTGTCTTGGTGGCTCTGCCCCTGCTCTTTGCCATGGGCACAGAATATCCCCTGGAAATCGTCGAGGGCTATCAAAGCACGACGGCCTGTGTCAGACCTACTCCCAGGCACCTCATACCTGAGCTGAAGTACAACATGACCATCTGTACCAGCCTCTCTTCCAAGTTTCCTCTCTTTCAAGCCAGCATCTTCAGTGCCTTTGCTGTGTACATCATAGTGCTGGGATCTGTCACCTTCATGTGCCATAGCATGATGAAAGCCCTGATGATCCACAAGGAAGGAACTGTGGCAGTGAAGGGAGGACAAAAGCACCAGAAGTATCTAAGAAAAAGTGAGAGTTCAGAGGGCAAGAGCTCCAGGAGACAGATCATTTTTTTCCTGGGTAAGAACCCTGTCCTACTCTGCCTCCCCTCTGTCCTCTGCCCCCTTTCCACATGGGAATGAAGCCCAGAAGCCTCCATTTTATCTCACCAAGTTCCTCCAAATGAGGAATGTATGGTTGGAGACCAGTACAAAATGAGGGATAGGCAATACTTTTGGTTGTGAGCATACATTTTAAAAAACCTGATGTCTCTGTATGTTTTTGACACACTCTTTTTGTCATTAGAACAGGTGGAAGGGAAAAAGAAGGAAAAATCCATTCACTGTTTGCTATTTCTGTTGTCTGATTATCCTGCATGCCTATGTGCAGCAGTATGGGTGATAGGCTGTTGCAGCTTGACCTTTGGGGTAGCAATATGCAACGGTTGCCTGGATATAAAGTAGCTCTACATGCATGTTTTCCCAATAAATTACAAATATGAGCATACTTAGTAAGGCTCCTGATGGGAAGGAAGACTGTCTTGCAAGATCTGAAGCTTGTCCCTCTTTAAAGGCATTTCCCTGTTGATTCAGGATGCTCCTTGGAGAGTTCTTATTTAACCTCAGTAGTTATGGCTGTGTTGCATCTGAGCATCAAAGAAGCTGGGCTGGAGAGTTTATTTGATATTTGGTTGCCCTCTTTGAATTTTTTTCTCTGGTTTTATTTGAAGGCCTGTAACCTCGAAATTATGTTTGATTCTGATCTCTGTTGCCACATTTGTCAGACAAAAACTAATCAAGCTGTCATTTCACCAACTTGGAATCTTTCCGGGCTGTGATCCATGTAGTCTCCACATTTGTTGATGTTCTTAGAGGTGCCCTTAATCATGCCCTGGCTGCATTACTAGTAGTTCCTGTTTTATTGGGTTGCTTAATATGATACTGAATATAATAAATGAACCACCTAGTGTAAGAATATACAGTAGACCCAGTAATTGTGCATTGCTTTTTAGTGCTCTGATTGATATTGAAGAGAGGGAATTGAAACTTGTGGGTCTGTCCACTTCTGCAACTTTTATTATTTTTTTCCTCTTTTAAAATTATTTTTGCTTTCTGAGGATTCTCTGATTCCTCCTCTAGTCCTGCTTTTGCCATGGTCTATGGCTAGGACATGAACGCAGGGTAAGGAGCCCAGGCTGCAGCCAGCCCCTTTCCTGCTGCAGCTGTGTGAGAGCATGGTGAAAACCTGTCATTCAGACAAGGCATATGATCTGGGTTTGGGACAGGGTGGAGCTGCACACTCCACCAGCAGAGAGCGTGACAAGGGCTTCAAATGGGAGATGTGACACTCCAGGCTGTACAGAGCCCTTCCTCATGCTCAGAGTGTACATCTAATGAAGAAATCATCTCCTTTCACAAGGAGTCTGTTAGTCTAGGGTAAGAGGCCCTGTATGTGGGTGACTGAAAGGCTCTCAGTATCCTCATTCCACTTGACAGTACTGATTTCTGGGGTAGAGGCACAGCAGTGTAGCTAAATATACCTGTTGCACAAAGCAGAAAAACAGATCTGCTCTTGAAGTGTGGGTTCCTTAAATGTCTGTGCCTCTGCAACCCGTTGTAAGTTACCATTACCACAGCTACATTAAAGCCCAGTCTAAGATCCAAATCCTGGCTAGCTTGAGGGGGGAAGGTAAATTGCCATGACTTTTTTTCCCCTTCTTGATTATTGTTCTTCCTTGGTGATGGTCCAGCATGGAATAGGCAGATGTGCTGCTTGCAGGAGTACTGGAAAGCTTAATGAAAGCAACTAGTTTGCCCTTTATTATGAGGGAATTTGCCACCAGTATCTGACACTTCCTCTGTACTCTCAGCTTTTTGGAGGCAGTAGATACTTCCACAAATTCCCCCAAATTATTTCAGTGGTAAGACTTTAATACGAGTCTTGCTAATTTACTTGGCTTTGGGAATAAATTAATAAACTGAGGAGAAAGAAACTCTGGCCTGCAAAGCAATTTAATTTGGAGATTTCATAATAGTGATGCTTTAGGGCAGTTTTAACCCAGAAGAAATGAACATATAAATTGTTTACAAATCGCTGAATTTAAATATTGTGATTTAGAAGTCCTCTTTGTTTTTCATTTAACAGATGGGTCAAATTAAAACAAATACTTGCACATTCTCAACATATATCACTTTTAATGTGAAATGTAAATGGCAATATACAGCATCATGTCTTTGAACATCTAGCAGCAATAAAAACAATTTAGCATTTTCCTCTAGTTGTTAAAAGTGATAAGTTCTATAAAATGGAGATTAAATTCATAAATCTCCTGACGATGAGAAAAAGCTAATCAGGGGATGGCACAGGAAGGATCTAATGCTTTTTTAGTGTCACGTTTTTGTGTGGCACTTGAGAATATTCATGAAAATTAATTGCAAATGTTGAAAGGGAAAGACCACTTGCCATAAGCAGTATTGATGCTTACAGGATGGGCTCCAGGTAGGGTGACACCACTGCTGTGGTGGAGGAGGAAGGTGGCAGGGGGACAAGCACCACGGTGCTGGACAGGTTGAGCTCACGTGGGGAAGAGCTTTTGTGTTCAGGGAAGGTGTCTGCAAGGGTCAAATCTTTCAGCTTAAAGTCCAGATGGTCTGATTGGGGATTTGAAGTCTCTGATGTAGAGAGATCAGTTCCTTCTCTTTCTGGCTACCTTGCTGTGCTCAGGGTGGAAAGCAGGGTGGTTATAAAACACTTGGCTGATGGCTTTATGATTAAATGTAAGCTTTTAACAGTATTTAAAACCTCCTAATGCCTGACCCACCCTGACAGGGATTGATTTCATCTTTGTGGCTACTTGATCTTGTCTTTCTCCTTTGACCCTAAAGGGCAGGGCAGTAATCACCTAAACTGTCACAAAGTGCCATTGGGGACCTCTTACTTGTCTGATACCTGAGCTGAGACCCCTGCACTGTATCAGAGAGCTCTTAAGAAAGGACGAGTTTGGAGACATATATCAATTATTATAAATATTATAAGTGGGTTGTAGCAAACAAAGGAGGAGAATGTAAAGGAAGGATTCCATAAAAGAGAGCTCCAGCTAGTGCAATTATTATAAATATTACAAAAGGAAGGCCCTTCCATAGCTGTAAGTAAGTTAAAAGTCTTTAGGAAATGTTAACAGGTGGGCATTGGGAAAGAGGAGCAGTATGGGGGAAGCCTCCACACAAGGTGCTGCTGGGAAAGACCAGTGGCTCCACGCCAGCAGTGCCTGCTCACTGGTCATGGCTACATCCTTCTTAATCCGGTCACTGTATAAATGCACATTTATACGAAAGCAGCTGTATGGTTTGTCATCAGGCTAGATCTGACTCACCTGGGCTTGTACTCAGCAACTGAGTTTTGACTATCCCAGCTGAAAAAAGTATTGCTTCTAAAGCTTCTGTGATATTTTCTCTTGGCAGCTTCAGTTTGTGCTTCTGCTAAAAGCCTTAATCATTTTGCATAAAGCAGCCTCAAGCCTACCACAGTAAAGACATTGAAGTGAGAGTCCTTTATTGTTGCTACCCCCTCTTTGCCCTTTGGAGCAACACCCATCTGTTTCCACAGCAGAGGGGTCCTGCTGCATGAGGCTGGTATCTGGGCAGTCCTTTTCTATCTCCTGACCATGATGAAGCATCCATCCATCCTGAGCTCTCCCATCCAGAAATGAAAAGTATCACAATAATCTGGCTGTTATGGAAGTGTTGACAAAGATGCATTAAAGCACTGCTACAGCAGTCAGCAGGAGCAAGAGCTGATGCTGGACCTCCCTAAATTGAGATTCTGCTGCTACCAGCCCAGCACTGTCAGCTCCTCTGTGAGTGAGGCCAAGTGAGGCAGATAATTCCCAATGCTCTCTCTTTCCCATCACTACAGAAATTCAACTGTTCTCCTTTGGGACCATCTGATGTAGGATGAATTTTGCCTACATGCCTGGACAGCAAATATCCTACAGCTTCTTTAATAATCAGGCAAGGGAATTGCTCATCATAATCAATGACAGTGCCTCCATCTGAGAAAGGCAGTGTGGTGGTGGTGGGTTTTGTTTGTTTCTGGGTTTTCTTTTTTTTTTTTTTTTTAATTTATTTTATTTTATTTTTCATTTTTTCTAACACTTAAGTATGTCAAATGCACTGAGTGTCAACTTGAAGGTAGCAGCAGTGGTGGTTTCATGTGATGTGGTTTGGTACAGGTCTGGTCTGCTTTACAAGGCAGTAGTAACTAAAGGCTTTACTGAGGCTCTGGTGAGTGCCACAGAAGGAAAGAGAGTCCCTGTCTCTGAATCAAAAAAACAACGGGCAAAAAGGAAGGGCTGGAAAGGAAGAAGTCAGTGCCCTGATCAAGGCCACAAATGCAATAGAGTCACAAATGCATCTGCTGAATCTTGCCGTAGTGACCTGCCTGCTCGGCTGCCTGGCCTCTCTCCTGCCACTTTTTTGGTGGCTATTGTTAAAAAAATGCCAGGCTATTCTATAGCAATACCAAAGCCACTGTAAACACCATAAACAGCTGTACCTAGCCATAAGCAAAATCTTGATAAAACCTTGAGTCAGAAATTAAAAAGATCTCTTAGAACTTGGAGCACCTTTTTCTTCCCATATACTAGTGATGGCAAATTAATGTTTTGCTCAGAACAATGGTATTGTGCGTAGGAATAGCCTTTCCAAAGATCACTAAGGAAGTGTATTTTGTAAGGCACTTGGCAAATGGGTTTTCAGGAGGCAAATTACTTCAAGTAGTTGTGAAAAATACATGGTTGTCATCTGGTTATGACTCAGGCACAGTGTAACTTGACAATGGTAGGACTTCAGCTACAGGAAAATTAGATGTTTCTTCATAAGCTGGAACCCAGATGGGTTTTTTCCCTGCTGAAAAAAAGTAAAGCATAGGGATAGAACAAAAATGGAAAGAATAACCCAATCGATTATATTCCAGAACACAGCTCCAGCCCATGTTCTTTAAACCCAGCTTCATTGACTCCTCTTGGTTCATTTCTTTAATCGTTCCATTCAGCTGCCTTTCTTCAGAGACTTTTTTGGAGA